TTAGGATAGTTAGATGTTTATCAGCATCAAGAACGTAACCCCAAAAACTCAGGTTTCACCCTGTCGTATTATTATTTATTTATTTATTCAATTTCCTGAGAACACAAATAATAATTTGAGAACACTAATTACTATTAGTATGTTCTCATGAGAACAGCAATTAGACCTGAAATTTCGAACACTGCTGGTATTCGTAAAAGTTTGTACTACGTGAAAAACGTGAAAATCTGTACTATTCATTTTTACCATTAATTAGTATATCGGAAGCCCAACCCTACCAACATAATCATGTACCAATATCAGCCAATCGCGCGTTTGCTATATAACAGATAAATATAGAAATAATCTTGATCCTTATTATAGTCAAATAAGAACAAATGTCCGAAGAAATTGGACCGCAAGTTCCTCCAAATCTACTTTCAAAATTTCAAGGAGATAGCGATACTTCAGAATCAACTCTTAATCAAAAATTGGATGCGAGTGAACCAAACCATGATCCTGAAAAACGTAATAGCCAGTACAATGCTCAGATTGGTCCTCAGATACCTTTATCAACAGAAATGGACGAAGCCGAAGAAGATCTAGATGCTTACTTACCTGCTTTGCCGCCTGATCTTCTTGCGGAACGACAGAGAAAAAAAGCCGCTAAACTAGAACAAAATGTTGACTCTCAACGTAAAGGCGCTGCTAATCCCAGAAGACGTCCGATTGGTCCTACTTTACCACATCCTACTGAATATTCAAATTTCGATGAAGAGGATGTTGTTATTGGCCCAATATTACCTAAAGATTTTGAGGAAAACAAAGACGATCTTATATTACAACAAACCATTCAAGAATTTGAAGAAAGAGCTGAAAAGATGCGTCAAACATTAGAGGTAATTCTGAGTTAATTATTTATATATATAAACGTTGTTTCATTAATGAACTTTATTAAGAAAATTCTACATTATTTTAAGCCTGACGATAAAACTGACAAACCATTACAACGAGGAGAATGGATGCTCGTGCCACCAGAATCAAAGTTTTTAGGAGGTTAGTGTATACATATCTTTTATTTATATAATTTTTAATAAGTCATTTCACTTTTGATGTTTCAGAAACACCAACCAACATGCGTTCTCGTAGTTTTAAACAAAAAACTCATGATCCAGAAAAAATTGATAATTCACTTTGGACGGAAACTCCTGCTGATAGGCAGATAAGATTACAAAAACAAGTATGAATTTAAATAAATTTTTTGTTACATTATTAATGTATTATAAACCATTTTATTCTACAATTAATAGAGTACTAGTCAAAAGCGTAAACATGAAAAAGAAAAAGATGATGAGCCAATAAAGTATTCACGTACTGATATAGAGAAAGCTGAAGCCGTCAAAGCATATAATGTAGTATTGATTTCGTCTTTTATATATATTCTTAAATTGGCGACATATAAATATCTTCTTTCTTCTAGGAATTACATCGATCAAAATCACTTTTAGAGACTCATTCTGAAGGCTATACCAAATCACGTAAATGGAAAGATGATGATGTTAGCCAACGTCCATTTGATCGTGAGAAAGATGTCTTGGGTTCACGTCGTATGGATTCACGTAAACGCAAAGAGTTTTTAGAAAATGCAAGAGGATTGAACTCCAAGTTTGGACATGGGAAAGGCGGTGTATTCTTGTAATAAGCTTGTGTTCTGTTATAATTAACTATGATGCAGTTTCACTATTACAGCTGGACGATGGCATTGAAATATAATGCTGTCTAAGTTAGGATTTCTCCCAAATTGGAATTTAGATTGAAATTTTACTGGCTAAAATTAAGCTTTAAACCCAAACCCTAAAATTTATTGTTTGATGAATGTTTGTTTAGAGAATGGGTACCCTTATATCAAACGAAAATCAACTTCTGATCTACGATCCGAACCTCCGAATTTTGATTTTAATGGCTGCTTTTTCTATAATAAATATAATTGAAATACTATCACTTTGATAAAAATTTTTATTTAATTCTATAATATTTAGAGTCAAAAATTTTTATCAAATTTGTTAAATGTTTGAAACGCTTTGATTTATCCACTCGAGAACCAGTGACAAATTGTAAATATCCGCTATAAATATTTTGTTTGGAAATCTGGAATTATTTTTTAATAAAGTAAAAACAAGAATTTTACTGTAATTATAATTGTAATAATTAATTTTTTTTAATAAAAATATTATATACAAAAAATAATATAGCAATACAGTAAATACGTATATCAAGAGATATAATATAAAATTTAAATTATTATAATTTTGAATTTTACTATATTATAATTGTAGTATTATAATATTTTTTTTTAATAAAAATAGAGAATTGTTAATGCCACCCCCAAATATCAAAAAGTGCTCTGGAAGAGTATTTCTATTAAGTAAATCCTTATTTTGATCATAATAAAAGTTGTTCATCGGGCCTTTCCGGTTCTAATGGTAGTAAAATCATTAAAATTTGGCCAGTAGTTTTTTTTTTTAAAAATAAATAAAAGTTAACAAACTTTGGATACTGTATATATGTTGTGCCTCAGATTAATGCTTGCGTCAGATGTCGACTTTTTGGCCCGCATTAACTGATCGACATTGATT